TGAATAGATGTAGCCGCTTTTAAATAAAACGCGATTGAATGCACTTGCAATAAATGATTCGTCAATGTCATGTCGCAATTCGTACCATCTTCGAAAGTTGCTATCAAGTCTTCTCTTATTTCCTCTTCTATATAATATTTAATTTTCTGTATAAATGCGCTTTCTTCTTGTTTTTCGATTGTTTATTCCCTGTAAATTGATATGATATACTCGTTCAACTTGGAAAAACGTGACTATGCAACAAAAAGGAACTCAGAAGAATACCTGAAATTTTAATTGATACTGACTTATGAGTATGTTCATACTAGTTTTCGATAATAGAATTTGTAATTAGTTTTTCTCTTAAAAGGCGGTATTTGTCATATTTTTCTTTTACTTCTTATCACTAGTATTTATATAGAATCAGCGGAGAAACTCGCTGCAAATGATACAATATTTTAATCGAATTTTATCTTCAAGATTGAACTCACAGCTTTACACCCTTGTCTTAATCTATACCAACGTCCGCTGCAAAAATTTTTTTCCTACAACGCCTACTCACACAACACTATAGAGAGACTTCAGAATAGATGTGTCTGTCTTAACTTTTAATGATTCCCACTCCTAGTGCCGGCACCCTACATAGCTTGAAGAGGTAGATAATGAAGAACTCAATGCAAATCCTAACTAATTTTCTCAAAACTCGGCGCAATTACTATAAATAACAGCATATACAAACTGGGTGGAATTTCACACAACTCTTTTATTCGCCCTCTAATACTCGCTTTTATTCCCTTCCGATCTTTGTCTGTGCTTACAGAATATTGTAGAACCGTTGACAACATTAAGTAACAAAAAAGTCACGTATACAAAATCTCACCCAAATACTCCCTTCACCCTTCCGGCCGTGCGAATGATGCTCAGGTAGTTTAGATAGAAAAGCTATTAACACAAATAATAAATGTTAGAGATCTGACAAATCTGCTTACCTTTTCAAAAATTGAGAGTAATTTCACGCAGATATCCCCACCCAACCTCAAGTTAATGACACGCTTATTCATTTTTTTAAAATCAAGTGTATCATTTTAGATATTATTCTATCGAAATCATTGTGAAAGCGAAGTTCAACATTCACACAACATTCCAAACATTAAACATAGAAGAAAAAAGTCTTGTGTTTTAAAGGCACACTTAGCCAAAACATAATTCGAGTTAAGTTTACATATACAGCGGCTGCAAGTGTTCGCGGAAAAGTAAAAGATATTTCACACTTTGACAATGAGCGTGAGAAAATATCTTCGGTGGGTTAGTGAACGAATACAAAATTATAATCTTTTTATTCCCGATGAAGATGATTACCATGATGAAGAATTGGAGACTTCGATCACAATCATCAAACGCCAGCGATATACCACTCGTTTATATGTTATTCTTCTCATCAGTAAGTAAGGTAAACTTTTTTCTCGTTCTCATGTCGAAAAATACGAGCTAGATCTGGAAGCCGAATTATTGTTCTGAGTGAATCAAGCGAGTATATCCCATGCTAACGTTTCTCAGAACAAGATGTTTCATAAGAAGAGTCACTTAATTAAAAGCAGATTTTTTTCAAAAATTGTTCGAAGGAAAGAAATACTTTGAAATAGAGAAGCACAAGTAACGCGCATCCTTCGGATTCATCAGCCCTTTTCTGAAAAACTTGCCCTACTGGTGAACACATTTAGACGCATCGAAAAACAAATAGGGTACTGCGATTGTTACCGACCTTTACCTAGACCATGACAATGTGTCTCGTACGAGAACGAATGCAAGACAGATATTCCTCTTTTGTCATTAATCGGACGAATTACCCATTTGTCAGGGAATCGTTTTCACATGTCAACTATGTACACTAAAAACTCTAGCGCTTAGTAGCTAGTCATTCGTAGTCCTCCCTCTAGTCGATCACTCCTGGCTGACCATTCATGTGTATACAATCAGTTGTTTTCCATCAAAGATCGAGTCCGGTTACTCATGAGAGATACCAAAATTTTACATGATGCTGTGATCTAAAGTATAGGCTTTATTCTGCTCTCCACTTTTAACAGCCGATAATTCTCCGATCTCGTTCTCAAAAAGATATCAACCACATTTCTTTAAAAAAATCATTCAAACTGTCTGATTCTTTCAATTTTCATTTTCAACACGATTCTCAAAATAAACAGGTATCTAGTAGCTGGTCTAGCTCTACCTTCTCGCTCACGCCTAGCTAACTGAATGGATCTTCTCAGCACATATTTCATTTTTTGATCTATAGCCAAAGTAAACATGGGGATTGATTTCCAATCTGACCGATGTTAATCTATAATTATGAAAGCTAGTCTAATTGAGAAAAATCGGCTTAATAAGAAAGAGTGCAGATATTTGAAACTCTTTCTACTATAGTTAGAAGTAATACGGCGCGATGGTCGCGTGCCCACTAGTGAATGTAAATTATCAGATCACCTGTGTTCCTCAACAGCGAGCAATAAAAACTGTTGCATTTTAATAATGGGTACCATTTAAGTGGTCGGTATAGTTATTGAAACTGTCAGTAGAAAAAATGAAAATGAGCGGTAGATTTATTGAAATGATCAGTATCGAAATTATCAGTAATAAATTCTAAACTGGTCAGTATATTAGCTGAAAGTGTCAGTAGAAAATTCAATCTTCCGTCAGTAAAAAATAGAAATGTTATCAGTAAAATATTGAATTTCTATCAGTAAAAAAGTAGATTTTAGCAGTAGAAATAATGAATTTATTTAAGTAAATAATATTATAGACAGTTTAGTAAGCCTGTTGACAAAATTTTCTAATGCAATTATTGCATCAATAATACAGCTTTAGCTTTGGCTTGTCTGCCACGCTTTCTGTTCTGTCCAATTGGAACAGTTTTTGCTGATCTTGAAAAAACGATGAAGTATTTATATATAGCAAAATACAAAGGAAATATCGAGAGATAGATTTAAGATGGTTATTTTCCCTTAATCTTTCACAGTCATCAATAACAAATACCGGATTGTTATGATCTGCATATCCTTCGGATACTATCATAAAGATTACTCCACATCAGTCACCTATTGTTGATCATGTGTCATCGATTTCTTTCGCGATCATATGTATGTACGATGGTTTTTTCCCTGTCCTGTCATATGTATATATCATGGATTTTCTTTCTTTTATATGTGTGTTGGAATTTTCTCTTCTATTTGTCACCTGGTTATGTTACATACTATGAAAGACAGAGAGAAAGTAGAAGAGAAATTATTCATTTTATACTATTTCAGTTTTTATACTGACACTTTCACATATTCGACTGTGAAAAAATTAGATATACTGATCTTTTAATTAATATACAGCTTTAACTAATTAATAACTGATCGTTTAAATAAACTACTGATCAATTATTAATTTTATTGCTCAATCATTTTTTTACTGCTCATTTAATAATTTAACTCATTTTCGAATTATTTCTGTTACTGATCATTTCAATTATTATACTGATCAAAAAACAAATTCCCTTTAATAATCCACCTATGTCATGGTTTGTCCCTGTGTTTTACTCATGCTTATTTCACTTGCTAAAATCTTCTCACATAAACGCCTAGTTAGTCACTTGCGGTTAGGCGCCCCATGATTATCCTTACTATGCCTTTCACTTTTGATTAATTTTCCAAGTGAATGACTACGTTTCCTTTCATTCTGGCTTCTAAAATAGTGACTTGCCGTACACTTGATTACTGAAAGAAACTAGACAGAAAGTTTTATTTTATGAGTTGCCGTGAAAGAGCATTTACCATAGTGCTCCATGTATATTTAGAATACTATTTTGTTAGTCAAAATCTCTGTAGTTAATAAGGCGACATTACAGTGCCGAGTACACATTTTGGAGATGTATTTCCGCTAAAAACCTATCGAAAGACCTGACGTGTCGCACCGTACAAGTCAGAGATGGTCTCAAGTTTATTCCACGTCGTCTAATTTTTTGAATTGCAAATTTCATCGTGTAAAATATACCAAAATCTTTTGATGCAAAGTTCTAAACTACTATTTACGTACACATCGTATACCGGAATATCGTTTAACTCACTACCTTCTACATAAGATGTTAGAAACTATACAGAAACGTTAAGCATGCCAAGCCACAGATTTAAACGCTGTATAACCCTTTCTTTCAGAAAAAGGAGAATACAGAATAAGAAAATAGTTGTACAGCAGCATATTTCCATTTATTTTATTTATTTATTATCGAATCGATTAATTAAAGTCTTTGTTTCTCTAGTTACGTTTTACACTCTCTTCTTCGTTGCATTGATTAATCCTCCGAGTCAAACAGTCAGTGTCTCGAATATTACACCATCTTCCTTCAATCAACTTCGTCATGAATATGGTGAAACACTCTCATGTCCATGCTCGAAAACTACTGTGGCTTACAATGCTTTTGTATTTCATACAACTTTATTCCATCCTATATGTTCAAGTATATTTGTCAGCAAAGAATGGATTGAAGCACTCTATTTGTCAGAGGCACCTGCCCTCTTTATAATGGATTTTCGAACAACAGCCAAATCTCAAGTAAGTCAATATTCTTCGTATATACCGCGAATCTTATCACGGATAATAGCCACTTATACGCCGTAATAATGTGAGAGAAATTTTACATTCAACACGAGAGATATTTATAACATACAACATAAATCATATGTGCTTTCTACCGAGATTTATTCGTCCTTTGAGCTTTAAACTGACACGATGTTTCATTTCCAGTAAAACGAGATGGGTCGGCAATGACAGGTTTTTACTGCGACTAATATATGTTTCTCACAATGTTAGTACACTATAAATTGAATGTTAAGAGCTGAACGCCTCGATAGCCAATGATATTATCATGCCATTTGATTCGGCACATTCTTTCTCTGCTATACCTCTCATAATTTTACTGGGAAAAAACTTTTTGTTAAAAACTATACCAGTAAGACAATTGCAACAAATAGAGAATCAACTAAATGTACCTAGCAATACCGTCATGTGTAGTCTACATTGTATCAATCTATCGATCGACTATGTATATGAGAATGCTGCGAGATCCTGAGCAGCAATCGAAACACACGGTAAGAATGCTACAGAATTTCTGTCAGTTCTTAGACCAGACAGCGTTCGTATTTTCGAGCACAGGTACTTGGCCATATACTCAATCGAGTCTCTCCACGTTCATAGTCTCTATTTTGCAGATACACAATGTCAGATGTTGTTCTATTAGATATCAAACATTTCAACAACATTAAGTGTAAACCACACTATATCGTACACCTACTCTATGAGTGATGTATTAATTATATTTTCGATTTAGTTTCAACTTATTGCTGATCTCTGTTCAATTTTAAAAGAAACAGTTTTACAAGCCCAAGCCGATCTTAATGATACTCAACTTGTTACCATTCAACTTCTTGAAGAAAGCTATCTTCAGTCTGAGATAAAGGAAAACATCAGACTTGTCAATACTAGCGTATCTCTTCAAATTAATTCATCTCTACATTTCCTCCAAATTCTAACTCGATCAAGCATGCTTATTTCGGCTCTTAATACGAATACTAATTTTTATGTTATTTTTCCTGGGCAGAATATTGTAATAGTAGAATCCACCAGCTATTTCGATCGAAGTATCCCCAGTGATACTTATACGATATTGAACTGTTACGTTGTAAGTTCAGTATACCCAGCTGGTATTTATACAGTGCCATATATTGAAAAGTGGTTTGTTCATTATATATGGCCTGAATTTCCATTATCTACTCCTCCGTTTGAGCCGAATGCATCGGCTACTATTGATGGTTTTTTTGGAGGATGTACGCCACTGGATACCCTTTTGGTGAGCACATTCAGATGTTTATATGAAATTGATTGTCTTAAGCAAGCTGTTGGATTTTTTCCAAATCTCAATCAAGTATCGCGAATACTACCGTTAATCTTTGACTTTTAGAAAAAATTTACTATTTATTTAGACTAATACAAGTTGGGTCAATGCTCTCCCATCCTCAATTCATCAGAATGTCTCTTTTAATGATCGCTTGACTGATCTATTAATTGAAGAATGGTCAACTAATATCGATTACCAAAAATATTTTGGTGAATGTGCACCGATATCGTGTACATATATTGATACTAGTTATACTAGTCTATCTTATACAATCACTCTCTTACTTAGTCTTTACGGTGGTCTCATCTTTATACTACGCTTGATCACTGTTCTCATAATGAATCTTTCATTCGCAATCAAGCGTCGTTCAAAAAATACTACCGCTACTAGTAATATACGTATGTTAATTTTGTTACAAAAAGAGACCAAAGTGACATTTCTATCTATAGGACGTAATGTGACAGGCTTTCAAAGATGTACTCAATCAATAGAACAATTAAATTTATTCAAATCAGCTAATGAACGATCAGCAGTTCACATCAAACAACAGCGTATCATCACACGCGTTTACTTGGTTTTGCTCACAAGTACGATTTCATACTGCATGCTAAGATAGATCTCACTATTATTATAAGAAGTTTAAATATTCTACGTAGTACCAATTTAAATAGAGAATATTGACAGCTAACAAAATTGGAATTTGCATAATTCTAGAAAATAGAGTATGACTAATAACGAATAGTATTACAGTTATCTAAATTTCATACAACTAAGCATGCTGTCAGTCAGGTTGCTTTTATTCTTTGCTAAAGTAAAAATATTTGTATTTATTTTGTCTAAACCGCTACCATTCAATCTTTTAATTGACTTATACTGTCATCGATCTTGTCAAATATTATTCTAAAGTTCACATTGATTCCAAAAATATCCGAAATCTCTTGACAAAGCTTTACTTTACGGGAAATTGATGTTGAACAATGCGAACAGATATGTAATAGTTACGAAAGTAAATAATGATAGGTTAACGGTGATATTATTTAATTATTTTTCCTACAAGCGAAAGTTTTAAAATTACCAAAAAACAAGGGAACTTCGTCTGTTTTATCTATTTTTCTTTTATAATGAGACGTGTGAAGTGTAGTTAAATACTCTCTGTGCCTTACTAATATTCAGAGAATATCAAAGTTATCACTGATGTCTTTTGTAGCTCTTTCATTCTTTCTCTTTTTTCTCTTCTTTCGTATCACTAGTTTTCTTAAGATACAATAGCTTTCCTATAAGGTAGAAGGTCTTGAACAATCTATATGAATCATATAGTCAATAATCTATTGTGAACTAATATTGAAAAAAAAATTTACCAATATTTTTTACACTTTTATCATTCTATTCAAGTCTCAATGTATATATTACTACTGTATATGTTGTTAAATACTCAAACAATGACCGTAACTAAACAAAACCCTTCATTGAGCGAATATGAACAGTTACAAGAATTATATTCAACTACGCTTAAATGTCCGTGTTCAAACATGATAATGCCATATTCTACTGTCATTTCATTTTCTGTAACTCTACATGAAGTGTGTAAGAGTGATTTTGTTAATGAATCATGGATTTTACTGATGGCATTAACATCCTCGATGAATACATATGATGGTCTTGATGACAAACACTTTCGACTGTTGTCTTTCTTATGTGATCTAATTAATGAAACAATTGATGATGCTATTCGTCGCTTTACACAACGTTCCTTGATCACCCCGAATTTACTCACTGCAACAAATGTAATTACTGAACTCGATACAGCTTTCAATCAAACCATTCAAACATTGGTTACCAATTTTAATCTGCTTGTCAATATAAGCAATCTTTTTAACCAGGTCGATCAGCCTTTTACAATGTCGGATAATGCAAAATCAGCATTCATTGTAACAAATAGCAATAATTCTGAAGAAATGCCTCAAGTAAGTTGTCGAAATAGTTGATGAAACTTTTGAATATCAAATAGGTTTAACAGTTTCATGTCAGATTCTTATGTATAAACAAAAGTAGAAAAAGAATAAAAACGAATTCGACAGTTTTAGGCACAGATTCCGACGTATATCAGAGAATGTGAAAGATCCGTTTCATCGAAATATTCAAATCATATATGCCTCACGAATGTCAATTTAGTAAAATGGGATAAACAAATCTACACTCAAAGATACAGTTGATGAGAGCATGCACTATATTGGAAGATTCATCGTGTGCATCACTTAGTATAACCGAAGTATATATAAACCAGCGATGTGTAAACAATTGACCAGTGACAAATCGGTGAACGTCTTGCGTTAGTTTGCGAGTCTTATATTGAGCGAATTCAATAAGAACGAAACCCTTTCTGAAAAATTATTAGCAGATATGATTGAAGAAATTATCGATTAAATCTTACAATTCTGACAATTTCTTGTGTTGTGCAAAAGCACAAAAATTCAGTTTTTCTCACATTTAGTCTATACTATATTTAAATTTAGTATAAATTTTATGGCCTTAGAAAGAGAAGGAAAATACTATTAGAAGAAGATCCGTATGTTAGAATTCGATTGAACATCAGATAATATTGCTCGTCTAATATGGCAAAGGAGCGAAATAAAGTCTGGTAGTTCGAAGTGGCTGATATGTTTTTGTCATTTAAACAGTATAGGTTCATTTTGGTGAAAAAAGTGCAAAACGCTCATTTGTAACCTAATTAGAAATGCTAGTATACAACTTTTTCCTTTATCTAGGTGTCAATTCGTTTGGCGAGTGTAACAAGTGAGTATGAATCTTCAACGAACTGCATTTGTGCCACTCATCCTCATTGTCAAAGAGCGACTATTCATCATGATTGGAAAAATATCTCATTATGTGGTACGATATCGAATGTCTCCTATGTGATACCAGGCATGACGATAGGATGTTTCATTCTTAATTCTCTTCTACTTTCGACGTTGGAATGTTTGTATTCCGAATGTTGTCTTTCAGTGTTAAATTACTATATAAATGTAGCATATATGCGTGAATATACAAATATACTATGGTTTGATGCTCACCATCTTGTTTATAATCCTGCATCAAGTAGATTTCCTCCAAATACTTCTATTAAGATGATCATTAAAGAAATGATGATTGAACAAAGGCAATCATCCTTTTCATTTCCAAATTATTATGCAACATGTGCACCAATTTATTGTGCATATTCTGACCGAGTATATACGTACGATTTCCTTCAAATAGTGATAAAACTAATATCCATAATCAGTGGTCTTACTGTTGCTTTACGAATATTTACACCATTGATCGTCAATATTGTGTTTTATTTATTAAAACCCAAACTTCAAACACAACCATCATCACAAGGTAAGTTTTAAGCAGATAGATAGAATAACCGACAATCTATAATCCAGATCTGAAGATATAATTCAATATTTTATAACTAAAATTGTCGTATCGTTATTTTTGAATTGTTCCACTGAATTCCTTCCGCATCAATGAAAATGTTTGTTGTATATCAAATATAATTTTGTCTCTTTTTCGAAATAGTTCGTCCGAAATTAACCGTCCAAATAAGAAAATTATTGCGACAATTTCTTACATTATTATACACAAAATCAATCGATGTAAACATATTTCCTCTTCGAACATTTGAAAATCATATTGATCGAAGAAGAGCCAAACGTCTTGGTCAATTAGCTACTCGTCTATATATAATCCTTCTTATTATTAGTCTTGTTATTGCAACATTTTATACTATTATTGAACCTCGAACTTTGATTAAAACTTTTGATAAACCATCACTTGATCTCTACAATGAACTCCTGCTCGACCATAATGGTTCGGTTCAATGTCCGTGTTCAACAATCGCAACAACTTATCAAAAATACGTCGTGATTGAACCAGTATTTCACCAGGTAATTATATAGGTTTGACAGAAAGCTTCAAAAAGAATTTTCTCATTGCTAAGTTTCCTTCGTTCTTTTTTTATCAAATTTGAATTTATCTTGATTCTGAACTACAAGAGCTATAATCTGGAAGACTCTGAGGATAAACAACCGATAGTTTACCAAGGAGTTTAGCTAATAATTCGATGTAATTCTTAACCATTATAATAGATTTGTTCCAACTCATTTGCTGTTGATCAATGGCGAGAGAATATTACAGCTAGTCTCGTTCTTTCTAACTACGATGTGCGAGACTATCGCCGGTTTCTCTCGGCTCATTTACAATTTCTGATTGGATTATGTGATCTATCAATGAAATCAGTAACCGATTCTATTTCACAATTTCTTTCATCATTGTTCATCACTACTGAACTTCAGTCACCAACAATTTTTCAAGCACAAATTCATTCATTAATAAATAAAAGTATATCAAATGCTCCGGTAACATTTGCTCGTCTGCTTGCTTTACTTCGAACAACAAATCATGGCAATGCTTTCATTACAACATATGGAACAAATTTTCAATATTATCTACGTGAATGGATTAAAATTTCACCAAATTCAAGTAAGGATGTCTATTGCTCAAAGATGATATCCTAGAAAAATCTTATTTGAGAACATTTGCATTAAGAATAGATATAATCATATTTTGATAGATATTTGGGGATCGTCTACCTTCTTTAAGATAACCGCATATAGTTGTTCTAAGTCAGTTCAGAAGCTTGGGAGAAAAATGAATTAAAGGACTTACGCGGTTTTCTAGAAACATTTATTATTAACTAAAAGCTCTTTAATGGCTAATATTATAGATACGAAGGATGGCACCATGGCACTTACTCGAGCAGTGATTTATGATAATAATTGTTCATGTGCATTGAATAAAAGTTGTACAACTTCGGCAGTCTTTACCAACAGACAATCATCTTCAATGGTCCCAATAAAAGGTTTCAAAATGGGATGCACACCAACAGAGTCATTTCTTCGCTCGACTCTCGAATGTTTTTATGATTTATCATGTATTAATCTTATTCAAAATTTTAGTAACTATAGTAGCGTCAATGATAATACAAATATTACTCTGTACTTAACAAATTCAAGTCATTTCTCAATGAATACCACTTTTTTCGATCTTATCAATCAACTTTTTGTTGAAACTTGGTCAGCAACAACTAATCATTCTGCATATTTTTATCAATGTTCACCCATTTTGTGCTCATATACTTATATTCAACAATTAAACTCTCTTTACACAGTGACTCTTCTCCTCGGTCTTTACGGTGGTCTCAGTATTGTTCTCAAATGGATAACTCCAAACATCGTTTATATTTTAGCTCAAATTTGTCATAAGCAAAAGAATCGATCAAGTGTTGTCAATCCGAAAAACAGTACTAAGATAACAACCATTGCGACCATAGATACAGTGAGCTCAGTGAATCTTTCGCATGCTGCTCTTAATTCAGAATCAGTATACACTACTTCAATATCTAAGTATGTCGCTTTTCTTTTCATTGTTAATATTATCTATCAGCTTTTCTTTTCCCTTATTACTAGTTTGACACTGATACGTTTCTTATTGTTTGGGATTTTGATCATCATACCTGTAGTGATGGCTTTTATTGGTCCAGTTGTTTATCTTCACCGGCACAGAAAGCATCTCAGCACATCCCCACGTATACTTGTTGTCTGTCTTTTATTAGATCGTATTAAATCATTGTTTTATTATAGTTTCGTCAACTAGTACATCACAAAGTACGGTAAATATGGTAACAAGTTTCAATACGGACGCCTTAATCTCATCAGGTTTGTACAGAATAATTCTGTCTTTACTTATCTCTACATGTCTATAACGGATTATATTTAGTTTTGATAGCGTTTGTGATGAATCTTTCACACTCAACATGAGAATAAGATTATCCTATCGGTCGAATCGGTTCAAAACATCTGCCAGAATAGCATATATGTAGATTAGAATTCGATAAAAGCCATTCATTTTGCATCGATATAGCCGTTATACTATAGTGAACCAAATATAGTACTATTATTTTAATCGTACGGAGAAAAATCATTTTTTTATAATCATTCACTCATGTAAGAGCAAACTTGATAGAGCAATATGCAAAATAGAGAAAAGCGAAAGGAAAATGTGATGAAGTATAAAAGAATACTGATAGATAATAGTATTAGCCATATGCCTATGGTTCATACATAGTCATGATAGAAAAATTCTGGCATTCATTAAGATCATTTAAACAGTCTCTTTTTTTTACCAATAAAGCAACCTTTAACTATATTCTTTCTTATAGCACCATCCTGTGAGTTAACATTTCAGACATCGATTACATACACCGTTAACTACACTGGTGATTTGGGTTTGGGAATAACAATGGAAGTCGGAAATTTCAATGACGATGATTGGCCAGATATCGTTTTTACGAACTTTGGCGGTAATTATATAGGTATCTTGATTGGAAATGGTGATGGCACGTTTGGGGCACCAAGAATATATTGGACTGGAGATTATAGTGGCCCCTATCGTATGGTTGTTTTTGATTTTGACCATGATAATCATTTAGATCTCGCCGTTATGCTTGTTGGACCGTCTAAAATAGGTATATTTCTTGGTAGAGGCGATGGAACTTTTGCAACACCAATTATGTTTTCGCTTGGATCCCTAATTCTTCCGAATTCAATTGCTGTTGCTGATTTTAATCGTGATAATCAATCGGATTTGTGTGTTTGTACCACTGCTCCTGGTGATATAATGATGTTGCTTGGCAATCGTGATGGGAGTTTTGTAGTATATCGGATGAATTCGACTTACACATGTCAAGATTTAGCCGTTGGCGATTTCAATAATGATGGTGAACTCGATATTGCCGTTGTCTCCTTAGCATATGTGAACTATTTTAACGTATTTTTTGGCAATGGCCGTGGCAACTTTACTAGAGAAATGGTAGTATCAATAGGACAGTATAGTTTAATCAACTCAATAACTGTTGGCGATTTCAATCATGATAATCAATTGGATCTTGCCGTAGCGGATTTTCGAACAAACAATATATGGATAATGTTTCAAGATGAAAACGGAACTTTTCAAACACAAGTAACATATTCAACCGGATATGTTAGTAGACCATACTCAATAATTACTGGTGATTTCAATAATGATCATCAGCCAGATCTTGCTATTACAAATTCGATCTTAAGTAGCGTATGTATTTTTCTTGGTTTGAGTGATGGAACATTTTTCGCACAAAAAACATTTTCTCTTGGAGCTGAAAATAATGCAGATTTAATTAAGATTGGTGACTTCAACAATGATAACAAATTAGATGTGATTAGCACCAATAGTGAGACGAGTGTTTTTCAGATTCTTCTGAACTCGTGTGATTGTTGCGTAACTGGATTCATACAGCAACATCTAGACACTCATAAATGAATCTGTCTTTTATCTCGCTACTAGGACACGACTAAATTCGATGGTATTTCGCTTTCTAAGATTGATACGCTTTTATTGTTAACTTTTATCTTCTGTTTGATATTCCTTATTCATTTCGTTACTGCGCTTTGCTCCATATTATTTTAATGTCGTATTTTAACAAAAATATAAATAACTAAGATATTCTCTGCCAACAATAATATTGTCGAAGATAAGAATCCCTGGGTTATGAGTGAGGATGTAAATGAATAAAACGAAATGACACCATTGCCATCAATCACTCTAAAATGCTATGTTTCTTTATATAATGGTATTCGTCTCACATTTGATCGTAGAAATGATAAATACTTTGATTTCGTTCTCAGTAACCATATTGGTTCGATTACTAGATTTGTATTTAAAAGCGTGAAAGTACTTATATGATGTTTGCTTGTGGTCATAGCAGTGGCGTAGTCAGAATTTTTTCATTGTTGCGCTATTTCCCAGCAAAACTATTTTGAGACATGGGTCACAATGGGTAATTGAAAATCATGTAGGCCATAATTAGGGTTGCCAAAAAACATCAGGAAAAAGCTTTTTCCGTAGAGAACATTTAATTTTCAAAAAAAATTTTTCAAAAACTGCAAGCTGACAACGAAAAACGCCTGTATCCCATCGCGAGATTCTCACATACATATGTATCGTAATGGTTTTTTATTGAGCCATTTCCACAATCTCAAAAAATTTTTTGACTATTAAGTACACTGTAAAAAAAAGGAGTTTTACCAAACCGCAAAAGGACCTTCCCTCCGATACACGGGACGATCCTTTTTTGGTTAAGTAAAATGAAGGTTCCGCAGCAAAGGTTTAGTACTAAACTTTTTTTCTTCAAAAGACAGAAGGTTCCGTATCATAGGTACCGTACGGAACCATCTGTAACTAATTATATTAAAAAACGTTTCGTAAAAATCCATAGCTGCGAAACCTTCGTTGCATTAGTTGTTCTCTTGGGTTAGTCACATACCTCTTTATAGTTATCCTCCTACAGGCTCCGTATTCAGTCACTACAGAATATAGGGTGTGGGTGGGTGAGAGTGCGGGTGCTCGGAATGAGTGGTATGAAACGTAGTTCACCCCGTTCGAACGTCCACACACCTTCACCCACCCTTTCATCGTGACACGAACGTGAGAGTAGATTCTAGCCGGTCCAGTAGATCCATTGCGATCAACTCTAAACGAGAAAGACCATAGAATGTGGCTTATTAAATATTATCACTTACCTAGTTGAATGCCAGGCTATTGAGAATTTTCCGTCGATAGATTTGCATCGATATAGTGAGGACTAGTGAGAAAAACTAGAAATAAATAGAAAATGAAAATTGCATGGATATTTATAGGGTCTCAGCGGGCGGTCTATTGAAAACTGGACGTCGGCTTGTGTAAAGAGCTATGTCTTTCAATGAGTCTTCTCCTTTTCCTAACTGAACCAACGGCAAATATCAATGGTTTGGTAGAGGATTCGCCGAACAGGAACAATAATTATGAGATCATGAATTGTTTTGCGGAACTTATACGTAACTACTGATCAGTACAAAAATATATTTGTATATACGAGTAAATTATGGGAAACCTTGAGCCGCTAAACGAAAGTAGGGATAGTTTGGTACCAATACTGCCAAGCCTTCATTCATTCGACGGAGTAGATAATGATTTCCCAAAGGTTATACTGAACCAATCAGAGGTATACAGAACTCGTCATAGTTTAGTGTATATTTGTCAAGCCTCTGACTAATATACAAAGCCAGCAATAGTTTGGCTTGAATTCTGCCGAATCTTACGCGAGAAAAATAAACCGATCTTAGTTTCGTCTAAATTTCATCAAATCATGAATAACTACACGGAATCGCTGATGACTTCGAAGAACTTCTGCCGCACAGTTACTCGTTCTACGAGTTCTTTGATAGATTTGAACGAATCCTACCAAACTTGCGATTATTGTACGAAGCTATTGATATTTCCGCAGAAGTTTCTCTGAACTATTGATAGTTTTGCAAAGCTATTAACAAATCATGAGTGAGCTGACAAAAACCTTGTGCGATTTTGCTAGAAATCTGGACAACCATAAGCCAAAGTACGACATTAATGATGGTTCTGGAGAAGTTATGCACAACGTCTTTGTAGTACATGAAACTATGTACCGTTCTGTGTAATGAAAACGAAACCTTTATAAGAGCTGCTGGATTCTAGATAGTTTTATGCTAAAGGTACGGAACCGTTTCGAAGCTGGCAGTATTTTGGTTCGTTCCGTATAAAACGCACAAAACCAATGCCAACTTGACTAAGGCAAAAATATTCGGTATTATGTGTGCGAAACCTTGCTTTTTCTTACTGACGTCCTAATCGTTCAGTATAAGTCGTGGGTTAGCTTTATGAACTTATACGAAGCTATGAATAGTTTCGCATGCACTATACTGAACCTTTGATAGACATACGAAACCCCGCAGGGGTTTGTATTGAATGTACTGAGCTTTTAAGAATTGACAAACTCGTTATTGGTTTCGACCATTCCACACGAAACCAAGTCTAGTTTAGTTTAAAATGTTCTAAACTTTTCGAAAACTGACGAACCATCGATGCGTCGGCGTGAAATCGTCCGATCCATCAACTTGCCTGCGAAACTAGGAATAGTTTCGTAGAAAATTGACGAAACGTCTCATCACACTCCTAAACCGCTGATGGTTCTGTAGACATGTTACAGAACTACGAATG